GTCTTGTGAAAGCTTCATTTCTTTTAGCTGGATTTTGACAAATGTGTAATTCACATATCTAAACCAATGGCTTGGTGGTGTTCCTCTTAAAGTGTCCAAAGCTCTCTTTTCCATTTCTTCCATGTAAAGATTGGCTACAATTGGTGACACAAGAGTTTCCATGTCACAGCTATGCTTCTCTCTGTTAAAATTATCCCTGAACTATAAATAGGTTGTGGAAAGACTAAGATCCAGTAGGGTGCAGATCTTGTCTGGAGTGAAATTAGTCCTGTTGTTCTGGTCACTGTCTTATTAAAGATGTTTCCTGACTGTTTCCACTACCTCTGATATAGGTATGCACATGAAAAGAGGAGTAACATCAAAAGACACCAGGGTTTTTCCTGGCGCCATCTTTAAATGTTTGACTTTGTTTGCAAAGTCTTTGGAGAATTTCATGTGATTTGGTGTATTTCCAAACAGAGGGGCTAAAATATTTGTAAGCTGGTTAGTAATGATGTATGTTATGAGTTAAAGCAGCTAACAAAGGGTCTGAGTGGTGTTCCTTCCTTGTGAATTTTGGAGAGTCCATATAAGAATGGAATGTCTTCCCTGCATATAATCTAAAATAAACTGAACGGTTAATTACCATGTCTTTTTCTAGTTGTAGTCAGTAGAGTGCCCTGGTGGTCTAAAGTGTTGAGAGCAATGGTGCAAATCAGTTAAGTGCTGTACCAGAACAGTGTCAAACACTGCACTTTGGTGCACACCGTGGTTCTTCCATAGTTTGCATTTAGGGGAGTGGTGGCCTAGGGGTTAGGGCATAGAGTTTGGAATCCTAAGTTTCTTTGGGACCCCCACTCCCACAGAGTGCCACTCTGGGTCTCTGAGCAAGACCCTTATTAACCCCACACTGCTCCCCGGGCACTGCACAATGGCAGCCCACTGCTCCCCAAGGGGATGGGTTAAATGCAGATAGTTCATTCCGTTGCTCTGTACTTGTGACAGTGTTGTTGGGATCTGGAGATTCTCCACCTTCTCCAGCAGAGTGCGCTGTGGATCCTCCTGGGCTGGAGCCCTCCAGCACAGCCGACGTTCATCAGCTCATCAGGAGACCGGCAGCTGCCAGACCTTCCTTCGACGCAGCAGTGTTAGCCAAGTTTGGTTAGCGAACCTGAGCCTCTGAATTTACTAAACGTTATCTTCTTAGACAAACCTAATTCTAATTGCCTCTGTCTTCTCGCTCCTAGGAAACCAGTCTCTCGAGAAAAGCTCTGGATGAGCTTAACCTGAAACCTCCCTGCCTGCCCTAGAGAGCCAAACCTGAAGTCCTCACTCTGGAATCCACCAGCTGCTCTTAGGAAAGAGCTAATCACTCCAAACAAGGTCTGTTCACTGGAAGTCAGAAGCTAGACGCTGTAGCTGCTCAAGCACTCTGCTGAACCAACAGTCTCTGGACCCAACCGGTTCCCTCTCTCAGAGCTAGCCTGGACCTCTTCAAGGTATCCACTGAAATATCTGATAACCCATTTAACTCCTCTGCAACCCAGCTAACCAACTGTCCGTCTCTGCAGACGCCAGAGAATCCTGCCCGGACCAGAACCTGAATCTTGTTCTTGACATTTGTGTGAAACTTAAATAAACTCTGTTAAATCTTTTACCAAGTCTCCAGTGGTGTTCTGCATGTGGGTTTATCTCTAAACCGATCATGACAAGTGTAATGACAATAAAAAAAAAAAAAGGAAGAAAAAAAAAAGAAATTATACAAATGTCATTTAACACCTTAATCAGGCCCCTTAATCAGGCCGGTCTTAGTACTATGAAAAGCACAGAAACATTACATCAAAGTAGCTGGTCATTGTTAAGAAGTTATTTAACTCTAAAAACAATTTTTTTTCAATATTCTTACTGATGAAGGGGAGGTTTGAGATGGGCCTGTAGTTCTGCAGAACCAGTCTGTCCAACCTTCTGATTTCCAACAATGGTTTGATAATTGCTAGTCTTTATGTCCTGGTGAAAAACACCCGACATGAGGAATGTGTTTATTATTTTTATCAAATCAGACTCTACTGTAAAACAGGTAAGACTTCTTCATAAAGCATATGAATAGAATATGAAACATAACTTAGTCCAACTGGTGACAGCATTGGTACTGGGCTTGATGTTACTGTACAGACTGTGATTGTAATCCCTCCTATTTTCTCTCTAAAAAAACTGCAAAATCATTGCAGGCCTAGTTAAATTGGATAATAAGTCAATAAATGGGTAATTAGGCACAAGCATTATTATAGGTTTTGTTGACAATCTCAGAGAAAAGAGATTTCCTTGAATCTTTTAGTTTTGAATTATATCTGTTGAGTCGCTCTGTAATTTTCATAATAAACCTGTATTCCATTTTTTTCACCAGCTTTGTTCTGCGTTTCAGTCTTGCCTCTTTTCACACTCTCTGCTGGAGCCAGCATCTCATTTACTGAGTCAAATGATAAGGTGGAAATATTGTACCGTCCATGATAACACTTTTTTGTTATAACATAATTTTGATTAATTAAATCAGTGGAAAGATGCATTCAATAGGTGTATTTCTCTAGCTTCTTTTCATCCATGTATTCAGATCAAACACTGCTGTAGATTTCATCTTCTGCTGAGAAAGTCAATGTAGAGTCATTAAAGAACATTTATATATTCAATATTATGATCATCCATTTTGGACTTGTTTAGTTCTGTTTAAGTTTCACTTTGGGTTTTCAATTTATTTGTGATTTTATTTATTTTTTTAGTATTCCTTGTTATTTCCTACAGTTATCCCTTTGATTATTTTTGGTATTTATTTTTGGTCAAGTTTTTCATAGTTATTGTTTCTGTTATCTTTAGATTATGTTTCCCCATGCAGACATGGGCAATGTGGAGTCAACAAGTCATCTCCATGTCATGTAATGATTCTACCCAGCCACTGAAGAAGGTGAGTCCAATCTTCACCGTGAATTAACCTGTGCAGATTGGACTCACCTGGTTAATTGGCTGGGTAGATTAAATACATGACATGGAGATGACTTGTTGACTCCACATTGCCCATGTCTGTCCCCATGTCACATTAGTTTTCTAGTTTATCAAGTCTGTTTCCCAGTTTGGTTTTCAATTGGTAATTGGTTTCTTTTCCATCTTGGTTCCCATCACTATTGTATTTCTTTTGGGGAGTGTTGGTCCAGTGGTTAGAGCAGTGGCATTGTGCTCTTTTTTTTTTACATAGAAAATAGTTAAAAATAGTTTCTTTCACATTTTTATGGTAGCTTTTCACAGAGTTTGTTTTACTGGCTGTCTGCTTTTCTGGAATGTTAGTGCATTCCCAGCTCTTTAATTTCATTTCCATGACATCTGTCTTCTGGAGAAGCTTGTCAAAATCCTCTTAGGTAAAGGGTGGCATCTTGTACAGGTTTGCTGACGTGGAATGTTACTTCTCTCGGAAATGAAATAAAATGGGCTATTGTTGTGGATCGCAGAGCTATTGTTGCCAATGGCCTAACACTTGACTGCATACAGCTGAGAATCTTATTGTTAGAACAGTGCTGCAAGACTGCAACCCCGTTGGTTGCATGGAAGCTTATAATTGTGGTGTTCCGACCAGAGCCAGTAGGGGGAAATGAAAGACCATTGAATTGTCCCATTTAGACTACCATCATTTAGATTTAGAAGAGGATAAATTAGGGTAATGAAGTAAATTATTGCTGCTTTATATATATATATATATATATATATATATATATATATATATAAATATATATATATATATATATATATGCAAAAATGTTTAGAATAAGATTCTTGTGTCAGAAGAAACTACAGATATGTTTATCAGCTTCTAACTAAACTTTGTATGTTATAAATGTAGCCTGAGGTGGACGCGGGTTGTCAGTCCTCTTGTCTATATTTCCATCCAGCAGACCTACAGATGAAAGCAAATCTCTGAGATGTTGTGTCTGTTTGATGCCTCAGAGCTTCTGTAACAGCACTCGTAATGAGAGCTCTTCTTGAACATGTTTGTGGTTATGTTTATTCTGTGCATGTGTGCATGGTGTCAACATCAGTGCTCACATCAGTGTTGCATTGATTAATGTTGATGTGGGTGTTTATTTCTGTTTGTGTTGTAAGGACATTTAAATAGCTTCAATAGATTTACCATTTAAACCTCTAATTCAGTTCTACCTCTTTGACCTTTATGCTTGCCGTTTCTCATTTGGTCTTACAAACGTGTTCAAGGATAATGCTTTTATGTGTCGTATATCTGCCCAATTTGGTTGGTTCAACTGAGAAAGTAAAAAGGAACATTCCTGATTTGTTTTACAATTTGATCAGAGACCGTTACAAGGATAAAGCCATTGGCATGCGTTGCAAAGTGTGCCAGTGCATATCAGAAAAGGAGGGTCTGGCATTTATAAGCAGGATATGAAAGTGCTCGCCTTTTTATGGTCTTTGAAAGTGCATGTATGTGAGAAGAGATTAACATGATTTTCTACACATTATATAGAGACTATGTGCTGTAGTAGTGCCATCTTCTGGAGAAGAAGGGCAAATTGTGTTGTACCATACACTAAATAACAAGGTTAAAACAACACACATTTGCTTATGCAAGCAGCCAATAAAAGTGGTAGGAATAGAAGGAATGTAATATTAAGATAATCTTAAAAATGCATCTTCTAGGATAAAAAAAAGGAATAAGAAAAGCCATCTTTTAAAATACTTGGTAGACTGTGTTTATTTTTTAGGAATAGTGGGTATATGTAGCCTTTACAGCAAATATACATCAAAGCAATACTGTACAACATGTAGAATGCGGCATTTTGCAGCATATTTCAGTGCCTACACACAGATATACAAAGAACACATATTATCATTCTTTGACAAAACATGATGTGGTTCTTATATATATATATATATATATATATATATATATATATATATATATATATATATATATATATATATATATATATATATATATACTGTATAAACAGATGTACTGTATAAACAGATGTACTGTATAAACAGATGTACTTCAGTAGTACTCCTCATCCACACTACAATCCAGAGATAAAGATTAATCCAATTATAAATCATATTAAATAAATTGGATTGTACGTTTAAGAAAAACAATTTTTTGTTAATAACGTTTAAGGAGGTATGAAGCATGCTCTTAATCAAGCCCACATCTCTGTAGTAAATCTTTCTCTTTTGTAATCTAATACAGTGATGTTAAATGTCATGTCAATTTTTTACCAAATTGTTTCGGTAAAAAATTAACAGACACAAAGGCTTGAAAACAGCATTCAGTGTTTCATTAATTGAGTCATGAAAAAGAAAATATTAAACCACCCTTGTTTTGTTTTTTTATTTCTTGCTCTAAGATATATAACCTATAATGAGCAAAAAAAGGGTACCGGTAATTAATGATTTTCTCAGGATGCAGTCCATGTAAAACATAGATTTTCTCCATGAATGTATATCATGTTCAATTAAGAGACCGTTCACCTGTCTTGATGACATGTTCTTTTGCTCATTTACTAATGAAGAAATAGACAAACCGGCAACAACCATAAAGGAGCAGACCTGAACTGTTAAAAATTATGCAGAATGCATAAGCATAAGCATACATATAAATGGTAATTTAAGTTAAAAGGCTGGGCACTTCTTTTATTCGTGCACAGAGCGCCACATATATACATTCCAAGGCGCTGTGATTACAATGCAGAATTGACAAGATTATTAGTCAGAAACACGACAGGAAGAATTTTCTGTAAAAAAGCACTTTCATTACTGTTCCTTATAACTGCTTGCCACAAAATTAATGTTCTCATTTTGTAGATCTATAAGACCTAAATTACATTGAGAGTGTCACAAATGCACTTTTTTAAAAACTATTTACATAAAGGACCTATTTACTTAAGCCCTTAGGAAGCATATGGAGTGTCCTTAAACATGCTCTACCACTGGATATTATTTTAATTGGCCCAGCATTTGGTCTTAAATTTATTCAAGTAATACCAGGATTTGAGAATTCACAAACACACTTCTACAGTGGACAGGTGGAAATTCAGTGAAAATCGACAGATCACCTCCATCTTTGCTTTTTTCAACACATCTTTGTATCAGTTAATGAAAATTTGACCAGGCACAAAGAATACTTTAAATAGACAGTTCTATTTATTAAGGAAATATTCATAAACGCTAGCATGGCCTGAAATAAATAGTGCCCTCACTAATTAGGTCAAAACATAGCATCATAGGTCACTCTACAACATAGATGCTGAGGGCACAAAACAATGGATGGCACTGTTTCAGAGCCTTCTGCTAAAATTGATTGTTTTTTATTAACTACAGAAATCTATTGTCCTGGTTTTGGTATGCAGTCCCAGGTAATATAAGTGTTTTTCAAAATGATTTTCTTTTTTTTTTAACCCTTACACATCAATGATGCTTTAGGTTTACCATTCTATAGTTGAGTCAAGTGTTGAGGCCTATATTACTTATGTGTTGTTCTAGGTTCTTTGGTAACCTGGTTATGCACTCCTAGAAATTTAGATCTTCTGGCCCCTGCAATTAAAAGTCAACCTTTAGAAATATCTTGGCAATTGTGAAAAAATTACCCTTACTGTGGTCTGCTGAGAACCCCAACTTTAAGAAATAACTTTGTGGAACTTTAGAGCATTAACTGAGATATATCATTGTTTTATTGATTCCTCATCAGTTCCTGAATTACTTTAGGTCAGGGGATGTTGGGTTGTCTTTTATGATATCTCCGTATCTGTTTCTTGATTCTTCAGGTCTGCCAAAAAATCATACCTGGTGTGGCTAGTGCAATTTAACTTTTAGATGTGGGTAATCAAAGTTAATTCATACATTAACCAGAAAAACAGCCAGCAATAACCTTTCTACCAAGGCTCAGGTTTGTCAGAGTATGTTCTTCCTTTAATAAATGAATTATTTTAAAATTGTTCTTTTGTATTGATTTGATTATCTTTGTCAAGTTAATAGTTGTTCCAATAATTGAAACAGATTTAGGGTTCACATACTTTATCACACCTCTGTTTATGTTTCTGCTTCTACCCAGATTCATATTTAACACATTTTCCTCTTTGCAATGGACCATCAGCGACTTCCGCAGTACTATCAGTATGGTATTTGCTAAAGATTTTGAATTTGACATCATACTGTAAATGCTTCCTCAGACATTCATCTTCAGCTGCAGACCCAGCAGGTGTCCGAGTCACAGGAACCAGATGTCCCGAGTGCACGGCTGGAGGTAATGAAGCAATGTTCCCTGGTAGTTTGTTTTATTCTAGTTTCTAAGCGATCTCAGGGTTCGGGTAATATCGGAAGACTTTGTAAATCCACTGAGTGTAAAAGGGCACATTTACAAATATGCCAGGCTGGTTAGCTCGAGCACAGCCTCTGCCATGGACACTGATGCCAACAATAACTCTGAGATCTCCATCCTGACACACAAGCGGGCCTCCATAATCCCTCTGTAAAAGAAAGATAGAAGGCCTATTATTCTCAAGATTAAAGGTCTGACATTACTCTTTAGACTTCCTATAAAGGCAAATAAAGAAAATTAAAAATAACAGTCTACAGTAAGTGAAAGACAGCAATATAGTGTTCAAATTTTTTACAAAGTCAGAAACATCAGATGGCTCTGGATAGCTGATGAAATTTGGAGCAACAGTCTCAAACTGCTCTGTTTACAGCAGACTGAAATCTAAGCTTGTGGATTCTAAAACATTTGTTTAAGATTTAGATCAAACTGTCTTGGAAAGCGTTGTGTTAGATTGAGATGCTAGATCCTTGTAAATAAATACTAAATACACTAGGAGCAATTATTTTATTTCCACATCTTAACGCCTACTCGTGTTTACCAACTTTGCTGCTGTGAATCCTTTCCAACCTCATATCTAAATGGTTTAGCAGCTCACTGATAATTACTGAAATAAAAATTATTTGACTTTTACCTCACATACTCCTTCATTCCTTTTTCCTCCTGCACAGATCTTGGTGTCGGTGATATGGAAGTTTCCTCTATGCATTTCTCTGCACCTATTATTTCCAACAATGGGCAATTCGACTGCCTTTAGGATATCTTCATGGCCAGTACCTGAAATTAAAGACATAGGTTTAATATTATACTAACAATGATAAGAGAAAATGAATTTGTCTACTTGATTGTTTATTGGTTTTTGTGTATCATTTTAACTATTTAATGTTTGTATTTGCTGAATTTAGGCTTTGCCTTTTCAAATGCATAGATGAAGGGTGAGGTAAGGCAGGATCCTGCCTTACATCAGACAGATCTGTTACATACAGTCTGATGCAAGCCCCATGCTGTTACTCTTTATCAACAAAATACATGTTTGGAGGTGCGTTACATGCTGACATTCCAAAGTATGTCTAATAAACAGTGGCAGCATATGCTTTCCAACTGCCAATAAACATGCAGTGAAAGTGCAGAAGGCAAGGCAAAAAGTCTGAAATGTTTCAATATGTTCTAGAAAAATTGAAGATTATGTCTAAAACTGTAGCACCGCTGCCTTGTAGCAAGAAGGCCTGGGTTCATTTTCTGTTATATGATCTCCTTGCATGGAGTTTGAAGCTCTCCCTGTGCTCTGTCCAGGTATTCCAGCCTTCTCCAGCAGCTAAAAATCATCACTACTAGTGAGATGAATTGGGCTCTCTAACGTTGCTTTAAGTGTGACTGTGTGCGTGGATGGTTATATGTTCAGCCCTGTGATAAGCTTTCATGCTGTCCAAGGTGCACCCTGCCTTTTGACCAGAGACTAATAGCCACAGATGGGCACCAGCCCCACATTAACCTAACAGATGAGCTACAGAAGATGGATGGCTGTCCTAATACTGTGATTTTTACAAACGTTTTGAGTAGTTCTGCTAGACAGGCAACTTTTCTATGTTGTTTATAATCAGTTCATAGCTGTTTGTTAATTTCTGGTTTAGTAAAATTTAATCTGCAACTATTAAATATAGATTTTATTTAATCCTGTGTATGAACAGTAACAGCTACTTTAAGATTTAAGCTCAAAATGTCATAATAGTTATTGTATGATGCTATCCACTGTAACATGACCCTTCAAAATACTTAACAGCATAAATCAGGTGCTTTTTCCACATAATTTATAGTCCTAATTTTGTGTAGACACCTGTATATGCTACATATTTTGCAGCAAACACAAGATACATGTTATACATGCATACAAGCTGTACTGATGTGAATTATTAATACCTTTTGTCTCTCCCCATCCATACATTTTACACATCGTTCCTTCAGGGATAGAGCATCCAGCCAAAGGCAGCTGTATTGTGTGGACATTGTCAGCAGGACGGGCAGGTCTGGACATAAATAATGCATGCATGGAATTTAAAATCATTAGTATACAGTAAACAGAAATCTCCATCTTAATATAAATGAAAATGTGTTCTTTTCTCAAGCACCAACTTTGAGAGCCTCAGGAGGGCTAAGCTCGATCCGCTGGGACCACATATCACTTGAGCTATTCTGACTTCTTGTCTTTTAGATCTGTCAGGGGATCCTTCTCGAAGATCAGACAGTCCCAACCACACCCTGTACTCACTGAGATCTGGAACGCTGGAGGAACAAGAAAAGCAAGCATATGTCGAATTAAAAACAAAAAGTTTATTTTTGAATCAGCAGGGACCGAAGGTGAAAGTAAGCAACTGGAATACCAGGAAGAGAAGCATTGTCTGTCAGTAAGAACCCACTCGTCTCGTATAAGTGAACCACCACACCAGTGCACAGATCTGGGAATGATACAAAAGCCAGATGCTAAATAATGAATAAAACACAGATATTTGCAACCTTTTAGATTTATAGTCGTGCAAAAAAATATTAGACGATGTTATCCTGCCACCACAAAGAGTGAGGCTGAATGTAAGGGAGGTTAAATTATTTTCTTCTACTTTTAATTGTGCAAGGTATAATTAAATGCAACAGAACACAGAACAGCATGAAAACTCTGGACTAACAATGATTTTTTTCTTCTTCCTGACTGTTAGAAAAAACAAAATAAAAAAACTGAAATGCTTTACCCTTTCTGAATGCTAACCATCCAGCTGCCGTCTGATATTCCAACCGGAGCCCCACCCACAATCCTGGGTCTTTTATGGACAAAACACCTCACAGGGGTTGGCTCAACCACAAATACTGAAACACACATATACATACAAACATGCTTTCAAATAATGTCTCTTTTTTTAGTAAATATAGAACAAAATAAATAGAATTTTTTTAAGTGTGACTTCATACAAGAACCTGTTTCTTTTTTCTTTGTTTGTTTTGTTTTTACCTACATTTTCACTACCACCTTTAGTTGGAAAGTTAAAAGTTAGCCTACTGTATCATCTACTGTATCATCTAAAAAAAAAATAAAAATGATCAAGCAGTTGCATTCTGCAGTTGATCAAAAGAGATGCTGCCTGCATTCTAAAAAAGAAAGTTGAGCAGATCCATTCAGTTATTAATTAGTTATACAGGCTCAAACATACTTTAAAACGCCATTGCATGAAAAAATGTTACAAAATGAATGTCTAGAAACCAGAAACTAACATGAAGAAGCACTTTTTGGTTCCCTAATCTGGAATAAACTCCCAGAAAACTGTAAAAACACGTAATCCCTAAGTTGTTTTTAATTGAAATTAAAAATGCTTTTGTTTTGTCTGGCCTTTGACACTGCTATCTCGGCATCATTCTGGTTTTTATTATCATTGCTACCTTTTTTTTTTCCCCATTGCAATTTACTAGTTTTTTTCCTTTTTGTTTCTCATGTAGATAGAAGCAAACGTATCCCAATTTTCTTTAAAAAAAATTATTTATTTATTATTATTTTTATTATTTTTTTTCAAAATATAGCTGCATGTTTTGACTTGCATATAGATTAAAAATAAATAAACCAAACTGCCTTTTCATTTTGTTTTTCAAGACTGCTAAATCTGTTACTTAATCTTAATGATAACAAAAAACTATAGTGTTACATTTACTTTTCAAATGATTTCCCAAAAGATTTAAAAATTACCAAATGGAGAATTAAAATATATTGATAAAAATATTTTTTTTATTTTAACGACAGACCTAGATGTTTTAATCATAAATAAATTCCTAATATATAGTCCTAACTATCTATCAGTCAACTATTACATTTGGTTACTTTTTGCAGAGACATCTAAACATTACCTTTTTTACCATCATCAAGAAACAGAATGAGCAGTGTTTGGATTAATATTCACTCAATTCATTTAATTTCTACGTGACACACTTAACCATGGCTAAGATGCTGACAAAGACAGAGTCACTTACCTGCTGGAATGGTGTTCTGTAAGACATTGCCTATAGAAAAGAAAGAGAAAAACTAATTTGATTAGGGACAGTAACAGGTAAAAGATGAGACGATGCAAATTTTGACTTAATTGACAACAATAAAAGAAGGATAAAGACAATATAGACATACACATCTTTAAATTATACTTTTATTTCAAATAAATTAACATTTTTGAATACAGGAGCTATTTTAAAGTAGACTATTCAGCCTAGCTATTTTATTAAAAAGCATTATCTACTAAGGTTGAGTTATTATCTCCAATAAATGAAATACTGAATCTTTTAGGGCTGCAGCTAATGATTATTTTGCAAATAATCTGTTGATTATTTCTTTTTGATTAATCGATTATTATTCAGATAGCCAAAGGTTCTTTAAGGAAGATTTCTTACCAAATTAAACCAGGTGAAACTAAAATGTTTCCACTTAAGTTCTGAATAAAGCATATTGAAAAACCAAAACATTTTTAACATCTTTTTTAATCTCTGCTGTGTCAGCAAAAGGCATGTTTTACAGTCTCTATACTCCATTTAACAATTAATCGATTACTAAATTAGTTGATGATAATTTTAATATTTGATTGATTACAATCATTTCAATCAATTGTTTAAGCCCTAAAATCTTTAAAACTGAAACTAGGCAAATTAAATTATGTTTATTTATCTTTTGTAAAAAAAAAATTAAAATTAAAAAAATACAGTATTTATTTTTTAATAGAAAATAGATAACCAGCAAAAATAATCAAACTCCTCCCAGCGGTTATTGAGGCGCTGCTTTCAGTCAGAAACAACCTGAGTCAGGAGGAGTTTGTCTTAGCAGTGTTGTATTGTTATTCAGTCCTAAGACTGCCTGAGTCGTACTTGTGGAAGAGAAACTACAAAACATTTCAGGAAAACGTTATCAAGTGGCATCTGCTTTGAATAAGCAAAGCGGCAAATAGGTACTAGCTTCTGTATTTAGGGAACATTCTGGTTTGGGGGGAATTTTGAATTATGTTATTGTGAGAGAAGTGCTACAGGGCAGCAGAGAACATAGGGGGATCCTTTAGGGTGTGTTTGTTCTAATTACCAGGCTAAGTTCAGGATCAGAACTCCCTAAGCAGCTTTAACTATACCCCTACTGTAGATTGCATGCCAACTATCTGATGTCAAATTCAACATAGCACTCTTATGAGAAAGGAGCTGTCTGAAAATTTAGGGTTTGAGATCAATTCCAGCAAATGTCAAAAGCTGAGTGCATATGCTACATAACCTTTATACTTTTCTTACCGAGAAATTGGTCAAAATGACTAGCAGAATAAATATATTTGCATTGGCAAGTGGGAGAAATGTGCTTTGTAAATGCTGTGTATTTGTTATAACTTTTATTACAGCATACAGATAAAATATGCGTAAATATTTCAAAGGCTTTGCCAACACAAATTAATCTAGGAGCTTTATTCGACCAAAGCATTGTGCATTGGTATGATACTTAAAAAGGTAACTGGAACTGTCTAAAAGATCAGCTATTGTTAGAAATTTTAATTTCCTCCACCCTGCACCACTCAGTGAGTGTTGTCAAGCCTTCACACTCTAAATATTCTGTTTTCGTGTGAATGTGTGTGAGGTGTAAAGAAAAAAAAAGGAAAGATATATTTTGTTATTTAGAAGAGGTCAAACCTTCAGTTTGCATCAATTTGAAGTTTTATCACCATGAGTCAGTATAAACGCCATACAGTAGTTAATCTTTTGATGGTTACTTACAAGGTTTTACGTTGCAGTAGTCCCATCTAATGGCAGAATTGTTGGTGAAACACCAAGGACCATGTTTATCCTTATCAGGATTTCTGCAGTAGCTCCCTTCCAGACCAGACAATAGCATGCCTCGCTCTCCACTGCACAAAGAGAAAGGCAGAAACAAACTTAACTTAGCTTAACACAAAATTTGGTCCAAGTGTCAAAAATAATGTATATAACAAGTTATGACTTGGTTTTAAATCTGAAGGTCAAAAAAAGAGTAAATAAAAGAACTATAAAAATATTAAAGAGCAATTGTCTTCTAGAAACAAAAAGTTAAATATCACTCCGAGATAATAAGAACAATCTCTGGATCCATGTTGTCAGATGGGTTTCTTTTGCTTCATGCTAACCACTTGTTAAATAAAAAAAACTCTTTCTCAAACCAAATTTAACAACTATATCAACATAACAAACAGAAAGGTGGAAGTTAAACAAAACAAGTCAGAGTCCCTAACATGTGTTTATATAATTTCGAGTTCCCATCCTTGACTTGTGACCCATAGCAGGCAACCAACAGTAGATATAAGTAGCTTTGAAGTTACTACAAAGGGCTGTTTGGGGTCAGAGGTCAGAAATGAAGTACATATCCCTGGGAGTCATTTCCTGCTGGATTAGGTCATCTTTGGGGGAAAACAAGGTTGCCTGTGTAGAAATGGTAGAGAAGCTAGACACGGAAGCAGTTTTCTGCTCCTTAACTCAAGAATCTCACCATGGTGAGCTGACAACAAAATTACATGTTTAAAGGTCAAGGTAAGTTTCCTCTGCACACCAACATGTTAAAGGTTTGCAAAGGTGTTCTTGGAAACATTAGGATTTTTTTTTTGTACAGCAGGAATTTCATTTTCTACAAATTCTACTATTCAAAATATTGCCTTCTGCTTATTATTGTAGGATTGATTTTTTTATCACTACGCTGTTAAAAGTTCTATACATTTTCGGAGTATTAAGCACTGTTTTTGTTGCATTTCTGTGATTTATTAAAGTAATGTATTTTATATCATAAATTAGGAAACATTATTAGGCAGAGAAGGAGCTTCAATTTGGTGTACCAACCTGTTGCTGTGATCTCTCCAGGGAGCACAGGGCAGGTTTGATCTAGTCCTTGACTGCTCTCCTTGGTAATTTTCTCCAAAGCCCATGAAGCAGTCTGGGTTTGCATATAAAAGTGAAGAAAAAAATAAGACAGACGTTTCATATATTTATTCTATACAATAAAAAAAAAAAAATCAAAATGAGGCTTAAGACCAACACAAAGTTGTGCATCACTGTGAAGACATGAATACATCATCATCTAACATTTACAAACATAAATCTGAAAAAAGGATTTCATGCATATATCTTAATGTAGCCTCAATTTTTATAAGAGGTTCAGCAAAATTTTTGTTGGCCTTCAGCTAAAACTGGATATGCCAAGGTAAACCGATACTTCACATCACTCGAAATAAAAGAACATTCTCACTGGGGCACATATACTATACACACACACACACACACACACACACACACATATATATATATATATATATATATATATTCCATATATCATTCCTTATCACTGTAAATATGCCAAATCTAAAGTTATTGCTTTATGATGGTTAGCGTACAAATGCATGCCATTTTTTCAAAGGAAGCGAATTTTGAAAACTCTACCTTTTTTCTTAAATCCTTATAATCATATGCTGGTCTATTTTTTTTTTACAAAAGTTCCACTATATACAGTACAGAGTAAGTACTGAGGTTATACTGTAACAAACTGTGAAAAACCTTAATGGGTGTGAATACTTTAAGGAGGCACTTTGTTTTTTGTTTTATCTTCTTTTCATAACAAATGTAATCCCACAAAAAAATTAAGGGCCGTTACACATATGTTTAAAAAAAGCTGTTATTCAGCTATCATGGCTTGATCTAGAATAAACAGAGATAGGAACAGAAAAAATGTATTGACTATGACTCCTTACAGGAACATTGGATATAAATAAGTTATTAGGCTGTCTGTCATCCTACATTTCATTTCTATATGGGAATCCATTCAATCCCTGAGGGTAGACCACAAAATAACCTTAGAGTCAATTTTTATGCAAGGCCACAAAAACTAAAATCCCTTGAGAGATTTAAATGCGAATAATCCGCCATAGATCTTCATCTTTCCCTTACAGAATCTTTGTGGTACCCCAGGAAGAATCTGAACCAAGACTAATCCCTCAACTCCATCTTTCCCTGTCAAATGAGACCAGGCCATCCCTGACTGCTGTCAGATTTTATTTATGTGAGATGTGGTCATCAGTCCTTCCCACAGTCCTTTAAGATCACAATTTTCCACAGGGATGCCAAGGATGTGTCATACAGGCTCTTATATGAATTTTGCAGTCTACAAAATATAAAAGAAAACACATATGGTATATTCTTCTGTTTAAGGTTGAAAAATAGGCTTTTCCCTTGTTACTTTCAGCATCGAAGGAAGGGGTTGTGTCTCTCACCACTGACAAGAGTGTTCTGGGTGCCACACTGAGGGATTTGGGAGCAGAACATTCTGCGTACTCTTGGGTCTGTAGTGAAGCACCAGGGGGATTCTTGACCATCTGGATTCCGACAATAGTTCTCTCTCAAGTCCCTGGAAAATAGAGAGAAAAATAAAAATATTGTGTTTTTTACTTTTTTTTAAGTAATTGCACACTGAAAGGTTATGGAGTGGAAAGCATTCACATGCAGTATTACTCTCACTTGCAAGGGTAGACTTCAGGTAAGAATGTGTGATTATGGGGATACTGAGAATCCCAGCGTTGGCAGGCGAGTCCACTGGGTGTCATGTCTGCTGTGCCTCTGTAACCCTCTCCTCTGCTCTCGTAACACTCGGTTGTCTCTAACGCAGGACTTTTATGTGGTGTTTCTGTGGAGGAGTGTAGAATTGTGACACAATGATCTCAATGATTTGCTGTAATACATGAAAAACAAAACAATATTAAAAGGTGCATATTATTTAGGCTGACTTTCCAAAATGACATAATCCACTACTGAGCCAAAATTGACTTTTTTTTTCAGTACTGCATTCAGAGTGCCTTACCTTGACTCCATTTAAACAATATAATGCAATAGTAACATTTAAAAAATGCATACTTCACAGCATAAGTAGCATTAGGTCTTTTTCTTGGGTCACCCATGTCCGCTTCCTTTTTTAGTCTTTCTAAAATCTAACAACTTCATTTCAGACAATGCAGTAAAATTACTATTTAACATTTTAAAACATGTAACCTAAAAAAAAAAAAAAATGAAAACCTAAAAAAAAGCAAAAAAAGAAAATAGCCAAAAATGTACACCTAAAATGCATTATGCTTGAATTACTTGTGTTGGATACTGTATGTTATGTATTATTGTCAGACATTTTTGTTACAGATTTCTTGTATTTGTTGCTTTTAATAAATGTTGAATAAAAGTTGGTTTTATTTTAATATTTTAAATGGTCAAAATTGTCCAAGAAATAGATTCTATCTTGAGGGTAAAAGTAAAGAGCTGTGTGAAGCTGGCACCCCACCCACGAGTAAAATCTGCACATTTTAATTTTGGCAGATGACGTCACCATCACCGCAATAAAGTCAGAATTAAACTAAAGCCATCTTTTTTTTGGTGGTTTGTTGGTGCAGTTTTAACTTTTGTTTGTACTGATTTTTGTTTACAGATATAATCCATTTCAGCTGACGGCGTCACTATCTGACCAGAGTGAAGCGATACAAACCAAAGGACTACTATTTTTAGTACTTCCTTTGTGCTTTTATTGCTTACTAGCTGACATTTTAAATTATTATTCTTTAAAACAAATCCAGCACAAATTATAGTTTTAACTGCAAAAATCTGCACTAATGTAGTAGTAAAAACTAGACATCTTTGGTTCAATTCAGATCTTAATGGGGTGCATGGTTAACTCTGGATGATCTACAAAACTCATCTTCAGTATGTCTAAAATGAGAAACAATGATTTCAATTGCACAAACCAGCACTATTAAAGTCCAAATCATTTGTTGATTTTTTTTTTCACGTGGGTCAGGTGTCTGCTTCAAAAAAGGTAAAACAAAAGTTTGAATTAGCATAATGTAAATTTTTTTCTTATGCTAAATGGCAGCCTCATTTTGTGGTAGTAAAAGGAAGCCAGATCATATTGAAATAAATGCAGGGTAAAAGTGGTCAGCCTGACTGTATCTTTCTGTGGTTCGCCAATAGATGCCTACTTACTCTAAATTCTAAGGATCACGATGTTGACAGCTAACATGCAAACCACAGCTTTCAACTGATATTCCACAAACCAGCTAGTGGCAGCAAATGTTTGGGTCTGTATTGACATCACATCCCAAAAATCAGCCTTTATTTACATTTGCTGGCCATGCTTGCCTGTCCTAAAGCACTTCCTCTCAATAATATTTGAAACACATGGAAAAGATTAAAATGAAATCTAAAATGAGACAAATGTGCGATTCATTGTAGCGCATCTCTTTTTAATTTTAAAATGACTGTACATAATGACTCAAAGGTTGGTTTAAATGTACCTGATGACAGAGTGTGACTGATGACAACTGATTTTAACACCGTATAAACAAGAGGTGAACATAAATAACAAAGCAGAACAGATTCAAAATAAGTCCCATGATCTGCACCAAAAGCTTTTTTTAAGGACTTAGTTTTACTCTATTTCAACAGGATTTTCCTTATTTCTATTTATACACCAATGTTTCACAATGTGTCCACTGTTGCTCATTAACAAAGTACATCAAGGTGATCAGAGTTACAATTTCAAAATCACCAGAAATTTCAATCATATTATTTCTGAAGTGTCAGGCTTCCTACCCAAAACAGAAAATTGTACTACTAACCAGTTAGCGGGTAGCTTGTTTAGCTCAGTGTTATTTAACAAAGAGAATGATGGAAATGGTATAATTTTGCACATTAAGAATGCTTACCTGAGAATTATTACTTCATGTGATCAGTGTTTGAGCAAAACCAAAAACTACTAAAACAGTCATAGATAACAGTTTTTAAAGGTGTAAGAGTCTGTTACTATTACTGAAGTAGGAATAACTTACTTTTTATTTTGCATAAAATAGAAAAGAAAAACCCCTGTCACACAACACACCCTGACCAAGACCAAGGTCCTCAGACCAAACTCAAAACAAAATGTGGATACCTCCATTCAACCTCTCTCCCCCCAGACCTCAACCCAGACAGACCCCCGCATTAAACCCCCTCACCTCTGACCCTGACCCGGAACTCCACCCTCTCTCCATGGAGCCTGGTTTTAACTTGATTTTGATGACAATATATAACACATTTTTAAGATTGGAACCCAAACAATATTGATATCCTCCCCATACAGACCAATACAGACCAAGCCCTGTGGCTGGAATTTGTGAATCTGAAATTCATATACCACTAAATTGTAATGTTTTAATAAAAAAAAAATCATATAAAAGAAGAATATATATATAATATAATAATAAGACTTGACCTTTGCTGTGTTTAATAGTATGTAATTGACTTGATGAAAATAGGGTTCTGAAAACAAATGCATTTTTACATTAAGCTATAGCAAAATCTTTTATTTAGGGTTCATATATTTGTGCTTCCAGCTCCAGAGGATTCAGTGCCTCACTAGTTATGAACCTCACTGCACTTAATTGTTTGGGAAAATGTTTCTTTGGATGCTTAATTCTGCAAAATAGCTCCCTCTACAGGCCTTTTGCTAGAGCATAATTAGAAAAACTAATTAAAAATCAGATATTTGTTTCTGTTCACAGAAAGAGTGCAGACAAATAACAAGTCCATTGGCCTGAACACTGTCCATGAGTACATGAAAAACATGTTATACACTCTAAATCATAAAAAAAAATGTTTCCTGTTCTGGTGTGTATCTATTTTTAGATAGATACACTGGCAGTAAACAAAAGAAGGGGCCTTGTCAGTGGACCAATTCTCTGCTTCTGTGTCTATTGCTTTGTCCACACAGCCTTGTTTTGATTAAGATTAACTGGGTCATAAACTTGGGCTGTTTCCAAAAAACTTTGTATCAAAGAACAACCTAGACATAGAGTTTGAGGGTTGAAATATAGTCTTTAAAAGGGATAAAACAAGGGAAACAGTGAATCACTGGATATAAATGGATCATTTCTATCAAGCAAACATGATGACAGGACTGCAGACATTGATTTCAAGCCAGCCAGCCATACGATCAAAACGTAAGGTTAGTTTGACAGAATACTATACAGGAGTTTGTATACAGTATACTGTACCCTATCCGTGATGCAACTCAATGAATCAACCAAAAGCTAGTGTATCGGTATTTAATGTGAAAGACCAAAAGGGGCTTTTCACAGACAAGAACATTGCCTTTGGTTCAGTCATAGTTAATAACTTGTATAACATATCTTGCTTTGCAAATTTAAAGACTGAAAATTCTGTCAAAATAAGATAAGTGAGATGGGATGGAAAGCATTACATATTGGATTTACAGTAGATATGTACTTGGACTAGGCCCTTTTGGCATTCTGCATTTAGGCAAAAGACTCCATGTTATTGGGATCTGACTAGTAATACTTCTTTCAAAGCATTGCTCATGGGTATGAATATGCAGCTTCTCCAGAGTTGGCAGCGGGCATTTGGTTGTTTCACGGATTCTTACTTACAATATTCTTTCCATTTTAAATGATGGGTCGAACTGTACTGAGATGTTTAACTTGGAATTCATTTCAATTCCATTTTTTTCCCCATTAACATTATACTGTCACAAGTACAGAGCAACAAAATTCACTCTTTGCATCTAACCCATCCCCTTGGGGAGCAGTGGGCTGCCATTGTGCGGCGCCTCGGGAGCAGTGTGGAGTTAAGGGTCTTTGCTCAGGGACCCAGAGGAGTCCGTGGGTGTGGAGCTTGAACTCAGAACCTCTGGATTCCATACGCAATGCCCTGACCAATTCAGTTTATTTATATAGCGCCAATTCACAACACTGGCCATCTCAAGACACTTTATGTAGAATTTTACCAAAGAATATGGTTTGATAACTTACCAGCGCTTTAAGTTTTCTTTTACATCTTTTTTTCTGACCTGTCTGGTGTGTTCTTTGGTCGTCACAATACTCTCTCCACTAATAATAACTAACTCTTACAATACCCAAAGCCCTAACAAAACACTTGCATTAACATATGCATTAAACATAAGTGAATTATAATTACTAATTAGTAAACTTCTGAGGACAGAAGAGAAAATAAGAAAAATCTTTTCAAAGTCAATTAAAAGTAAAGTTTCCATTTTATTTTCTTAAGGACTGGAGTGGCTGTTTCTATGACAGAGTATTAGGTTCAGACTTGCAAGATTAAAGTCATGATATTATGAGAATAAAGTAATAATATTACAATTTTAGCAATTTAAATTCATAATATCATGAGATAAAACTTTTAATATTCCGTGGTTGGTTGTAATATTATGAGATTAAAGTCAATATTATGTAATGAGATCTCTTGCACTGTCTTTCCCATAATTGAAATGAGAACCGTTGAGAATCTTGGGACGTTATACTTTTTTATTGGCTTTACAATAAGAAAAAAAATTTATTATTTTAGCCCATCATCATCAAATTATTATTATCAATGAATCATGACTTTATTTTCATAACATTCCATATTTATTCTCATAATACATTGATAAACATAAATAAAGTTGTAATAGTACAACATTTTTCTGGTTATATTAAGAGAATAAAGTAATGTATCTACAAATTTATACACATTATATTTTTTTTCTCCTAGTCTGATCTTAATCCTCTGTCGTAAGGTTCTGATTGTGTAACCAACAACAAATAAAGTCATCTCTGGATAAATGTGAAGGTAAACAGACACCTCAACGCCATCTTTAACTATTGTTCTTATACATTAATTGGACCTTGATTATTAGNATATTATGTAATGAGATCTCTTGCACTGTCTTTCCCATAATTGAAATGAGAACCGTTGAGAATCTTGGGACGTTATACTTTTTTATTGGCTTTACGATAAGAAAAAATGAATTATTTTAGCCCATCAGCATCAAATTATTATTATCTATCAATCATTATTATTGTTATTTTCATAACATTCCATATTTATTCTCATAATACATTGATAAACATAAATAAAGTTGTAATAGTACAACATTTTTCTGGTTATATTAAGAGAATAAAGTAATGTATCTACAAATTTATACACATTATATTTTTTTTCTCCTAGTCTGATCTTAATCCTCTGTCGTAAGGTTCTGATTGTGTAACCAACAACAAATAAAGTCATCTCTGGATAAATGTGAAGGTAAACAGACACCTCAACGCCATCTTTAACTATTGTTCTTATACATTAATTGGACCTTGATTATTAGGTGTGATAAAATATGTCTGCATCCAAGTATGAGTTTGTGTTTTGTCTGTATGAATTACAGAAGGTTAATGTGGAGCAGTAACTGAGCTTTGTGCAGTCTGAGTGCAACACCTAAAATCTGGCATGGAACAACAAACAACTGGTCTGTGATGCTGTGAAAAATAAACATTTTGGCTATTGGAGAAGAGAGAAAGGCTAAAAGGGGTTGCGGGCTAGCTGTATAGGTATGCATGTGTATGTGTGTTTCCCAACATCAAGGAAGAGTAATGACAATATGGGGAAAAATAAATGATACAGAAAGTTGTAAATTCTTGGATATTCTGTCAGGCATGACTGACAGTAATAGGCCTCTATTCTACACAAACAGACCTGGTTTATGTCAAACGCAAATACTCTGTTGGCAAGGTCAGTCAATTCAAACACACACAAACACATATGCACTCTTGCTTACCACAGACTTTGATGTTGCAGTACTCCCATGGCGTGTTTGGGTCTGTGGTAAAGCACCAGGGTCTGTGTCGTCCATCAGGGTTCCTACAGTAGTTATCATGTAAGCCTTTGTCAGGGAACCTAACACAAAAATGAAACATTTCAGCATGTAGACTGTTAACATCTTGTGATAATCTCTTAAGTGCTCAGTGAAATCATTGGAGAAAAAATACAGAATTGCATATAGCTGAAAAAGATGAATAGTAGTTAGCAGACACCATCTGTTTATCTGTTTAGAGCTCAAGGAGATGAGGAGGATAAGTTGTATCAGTCCAGATGTTTAATAGTCAGTCCTCCCAAAGTCCCCCATCCCTTCAGGTCTGTTGCCTCAGGCATGCAGCATTAGGCAGCTGGTCCTCTCATTCCATTAACAGCTTTTGCAGCATGGGACCAGGTTTGTACAAATAGTGTGATGATTAAGGACGTGTTAACGAGTCTCGGCTAATCCAGACCACCTGCCACCCAACTAGCTGGAACAGCGTTGACACAGTCATACAAAAACTGCCATACACATATGTCAACACAAGACGGGGAGATGTAAAGAGTTCCTGAGCAAATTGAATTATATAGCTTTCCTAATGCAGAAATGAGGGGACTTCCCAGCATACCACAGTTAAAAAACGCAAATTACACTAGATTCTCATCACTTCCCTTAAGGAAAATGTTTTCATTGGCTAACTAAAAACACTTAATCTCCTGGGTGAACCACAGCTTCATAAATCTATTAGAGGGATATACTGTATACAAAAAAACTCCCATATACTTGCACTTATAATAAAGCAAGCAGTTTGTGAGATGTATGAGTTTTTTATGTTTGGAAGTTTAACCTTTTGGGGTGGTACGTATGCTTGTGTGGTTCATTCAGGTCCCAACGTTGACATTCTTTTCCACTTTCTGTATAGTCCATCGGTCCTCTGTAATCTTCCCCATTACAGGTAATACATTCAACTGCATAACAAGAAAAGACATAATTAATATAGACTGACACAGATATCTATTAACATTAGAAAATTTGACATTTAATACTTAATATTTAAGCTTCTAGAAGTAGTCCAGAAATTACTTGTTCAAATTTTTGCAACTCAGTTTGCTTCAACTAGTAGAAGGAGTTGTAGGACTGTTGCGGTAATCAAGGCAGCAATGGTTCATTTTAATTGACGACCTTTAGTGCATAATTTCAGAGCAAGTTAATGATTGGGTTTGATAGTTAATCACTGTGATTAATAAGAGGAAACCTGAATGACGTACTGGTAGTCCTGGAGTACATAATACTGGATGAATGGAAAATAATTAGAATGGCGAGATAATCTCATCATTAAAGGTAAATGTTTTCTGCTGTATCAGCTTGTATCTCCAAGTTTTGTTATATTGCCTTGTATTCACTTCTTTGCAATTATAGGAGATGTACTTTTATATAAGCATAGAGAAAACAATTATAGACAACAATTATTCAGCTCTAATCAGGCTAAAATAAGACTCAAATGTATAGTGAGTTTTTGTTTTACTAAAAGTGTTGCATATAAAATAACTTAATTGTCACTAAAACCAATAAGCATTTTCATCCAAAGACTAAGATTAATACTAAAACTTGAAAGGGCTGGAAAAAAAACCACACTGCTGAAAGCAAACCATTGAAGTAAACGTTTTTTGGGTGGTACCATGTTTCATGAATTATAGAAATAAATTATTGAAAAGTGTTAATGAAACTGCACACAACCATTAAAAACATTATCTTACATTCTGTTTCAACAAATATTGTTTTAAACCCATTTTATCAGACAGATGGTAAGTAGAATATAAAAAAATGTTAAGATCTTTGTCAATGTGGGTACTACATATTTTTATAAGTCACATGGTGTACATGTATATGCAACATTTAGTTTTCAACAGCTCAATTAAAAATGACAGAGTTAGGTAAAAGATTAAAGGCATGAATTAGTTAAATGGCAAAACAATAATCTCACCCTAATGAACTTATTCTTTATCAGCACTTTCCAAGAGTAGAGTCATAATAAATGAAATAGTCTTTATCAGTATAAGTCAGGGTCATGCAGACCAATATGCAATCAAAAGCTTATGTTTAAATCTCTGGAAATTATTTCAATATAAATCTGCCTAATTTGAAAACACCACAAACAGTAACTACTTTTTAACACCAATAACAAGAAAGACCAGAGGTGGAATAACAAAATGTTCTATATTCTTACCTTCTCACTGTTTAATGTGAGATCAGGTCAATGCACCATTGTTCAAATTATGAGTGGATGTAATAACATTGAGCAGCATAATGTTGAAAAATAAAGTGTTCCTGAAGTGTGGTGCTCAACAAAATAAAAAAAAAAAAATAATGGTTAGTTGTTGTTAACTCTATGATTTTGGAAAGTTAAACTGGTTCTTTTAATAAACCAATAGAAACTGTTTTTATAACAGATACAGATTGAGCACTGGAAGAACATTTGTGGAGAAAAAAAATCAATGGTTGTCAATTTTTTCTGTAAAACAGTAGTTAAATTTGTTAGTAGAGTATATACTCAACCTAACATTATCCATGTTGATTGGGCTAATTTGTTAAACTAAAACAAAAACAGTAAATATAAAGCAGTTACAAGATTCTCTGAATCTAAGGATTAGTCTACAAGGTAAGAGGAAATCTACCTGTGTCAGATAATGAAAAGGAAGAAACTTTGTTTCGTGAGACTCTTGGCTGATACGGCTGATGAGTGACAAAATACCCTTAGGGTTTCATACACAAGCAACACAGGTGTTAAAATTGAGAACCTAGTAAAGTAAACATTAGTCATCATTTTTAAGAATTCAAAATTTTTTTTGGATCACATAAATTTGTTTCTGCTCTCTTATAATCTTTTATGCCCCTTTTCTCTCCTAAGAAATCCCTAATGATAGTACAAGCAGGCAAACTAAAACCCTTGTTATATGTCCAGTAAGATATATACTCATCCAAAGCACTCAACAACAACAAAAGAAAAACTTATTACAAAAAACAAAACCATCCATTTACTATGACTGCATTACAGTGCCATCGTTATGTTAAAACACATTCAATCCAGAGTGATAAAAATAGTTTTAGAATAATAAACAATATTTTATAAAGAGAGATGACCATTTGTTAAAGATGAGTGGGATACACTGCAAAGTGTAAACAAGCAAAAGTATACCTATTAAAAACAGAGTTTTATGAGCCCTCTCCCGGCATGACACAGCACATTTATGGCTAGAGACTGCTAGCTTTGTACATTCCATGTTTGTAGACACGTGTGCTCTTTACTAATAGTAGTTAATTGTCAAAAGAAACAAAACAAAAAAAACGTTTCAGTATTTTTCCAGTCTCCAGACAAAAGGTTGTCTATAATAAAAATATGCAATTATACATGGTGGCCTTGTAACTTGTAATAGCTCAGTGGGACATCCTATGTCTGTTGAAATTCTTGAAGTTTTCTGATCCTGTTTTACTGAACCGCAGTGAATTTAAAATGATCTGTCATGATGCACCCTTTTGATGAACCCTTTTGACATTAACATTTCAGGAAATGGTATAAAAGGCTGACAGTGTTTTGCTTTTTTCACAACCGCATTTGCCACAAGGAGACAATTGATGGCTAAATTTTCATGTAGAGGAAATAACATTAATATCCTCTAATATTTGATGACTTGCTCCTTTGTGGATAAACTGCTCATAAGCCTGATAAAACAAAAGACGACATTAAAAAGTGAATTCCATACCTGGAAACAGATGCAGCCTGCCTCTGTAATTAAAACTCTTGGACCCACATGCATGCAAAAATATTTAAGTAGACCACAGTAAGAGAAGGTTGAGTCTACTCTTATTCTACTTCAATGTGATTGCCCAACATTCTACACTTTATTTCAGATGGTCAGGTTTAAATTAATTTCCAATGTGGAATGCTTATAACTTCAAGATAACTATCCTCATGGAGAGGTATATATGAGTGCACAGCTTACCCTGCGAACATAGTGGAATGCCACACTCCTGGTGTCTGAGGTGTGGCCTGGGGTCAGTGGTGAAGCACCATGGACCATCCGTGGAGTTGTCTGGGTTACGGCAATAATTTTCTCTGAGGTCCTTATTCCTGTACCTCTTAGACATAAATCTATTGAAACGAGAGCAGAAGCAATACCACATGTATGGTAAAAAGAACAGCAGGCAATTGCTGCTAACAGCCACAGTAAAGTTAAGACAAGAACAGAACGTTTATGTTGTCCTTTACTAATCCTCAAAGGAATGACATTCACTTTGTTGTTTACAAGGCAGCTGCTGCTTGGCAGTAAGTTGCCTGTTTCGAGATGACAAAATAAACATCTTTAAAAGTCAGCCAGTTTTAATGCTGGGGAACTGACTCACTGATTCCGTGCTATTTGTAATTAGAGAAAACACGTTATAAAGCAACAATATTTCTTCAATAGGGCCTGCTCTTGATGTAGTATAAACATGCTAAGAAGTGACTCAAATCTTCAACATCAGGCGAACACATGGCTGTGGTCACCACTTACGTTGATGGAGATGACAAGTGTATTTTTAGTGTCAAGCTGTATTTTTCCAAGATGATGAAACGATAATCCATAAGGTTCATCTTTGGTGGTTGAAAATGACAGAAGAAGAAAGAGAAAATCTTGTACTGATAAAAGTCATTTTATTTTTTTAAGCATGTGTATGTGTGAGGCCATGTTTTTATTACCCTGTGCAGACAATTTCCCTGACATGTGCTACATTTTGGGGATTTATAGCTACTTGCTGGGACTAGCAACTGGACACAATGAGGATAAGTTATCTACTTTGGGTCGAGGTTCGGTTTAGGACTAAGGTGTGAGTTGAGTTTAGGTTAGGTATGTGTTGATAAGGGTTAAAGTGAGGGTTAGGCTGTAGAAATAAAGGCAAAATTAATGGAAGCCAATGGAAAGTCCCCACAAAGATAGTGTTACAGATGTGTGTGTGTGTGCGTGCCAGTTCCCTATGTCTACAAGCTAACTGATAAAAACATACAAAATTCCTTGTTGTAATTACCTGAACTGTAGAGGTCTAGTAATATGACAAAGGAGGTTCACTGAAAGTCCAAACCTTCACTGCCAGCTTTAATTCATGTGATTTGAGCAGCTCACAAAAAAGCCTTTTCAACCCTTTCTTAATAATGATAAATCAGGATAAGGGACATCACATTCATCCATTAGATTTGATATTTTGTAGGGAAATAATTTACTTACTTATAGTTTGCATTGGTTTTATTTGTATGATATTTAACAATATCTCCTTTTTTAAGCTTTATTTAATACATTAAAACAGAAACTTGAAAGTGCAGGAATTGAGATTAAAGAGAAGATTACTAGAGCAGATAAGCTTTATATTGTGTTCACATTGTTCTCTGCAGGCCAACATCAGTTGCAGTTCAGGTTGTCCTACATTAATGGTAATTACTCTTTAGCTTTGTTTTTTGATTTTTGATTTAGAAAAAATGGAAGAAGATCATATGAGCTGCATTAAATACAAACCTTTCCACAGCTTTAATCTGTTGAAATATTTCCCGATTAGGTGATGTAGAGTATACACAGTGGTACACTGTAATGAATATGCATTTTCAATGAGATGTAACATCAGATCTTTCCATGGATTGAATGCTAAATTGTGCTCAGGCCTTAACACTCCAGGTGAAAATGGGGACCAGCATGTAGAACGGCCTTACGTAAACATATCACCAGAATGATTGACAATTAGTAGTTGTGGTTAAAGTACAATGCGACGAAGGTCCATGGTGGAAAAAAAAAAAAAAAAAAAAA